AATCATGGGAGTTGTAGTTCAGCAACATCTGGAGGGGCGGAGTTTGGGGAAGCCTGCTCTAGTCTGTTTCCTTTCCCTATATGTCTCACCGGGGCATCTCTTTTCTCTAAATATCTCCCTGGTTTAACCCCTTTCTGTAAATGTCTCTTCAGTCTGTGTCTTTTCCCTTCTCTCTTAAACAGGATAAGTAGACACTTAAGGAGTCTATTCACTAAACACTGATGTAAAAGCATATCAATACAGCAAAGTTGAGATGGTGACTTCATACGACTCTTCTGTTTTGGCCTAAATGGTGCAAGTTAAATTTCAACTCACTGTTTAATGAATAGACGGGAAAGAGAAAAGAAGAGAAAATGACAAACGACAATGACAGGGTTATTCACTGAAATGAGAATTGTTGGGTATTCAAAATGAAGTTAATTGAAAGTGAAAGGTCAAAATAGACAAATCTGAAGAATGTTTTTTTTGGCCTTAAATTAGAAATTCACTTTGAATTTACAACAATTCTCACTTTAGTTAATAACCCTATTGGAATAAAGAGAAACAGGTTGGAGAGAATCTGTGGAGTAGAGTGAGCAGAGAAATCATGAACATAGAGACTGCAAGCTTTGGGAAACAGAAACAAAGGAGGAAGATGTGGGTAAACGCTAATGAGCGATATTGGGCACTGTGGAGGAAAGGGACAGCTCATCAGACCTAACTGGAAACCAAATGGTAACATTTAGGCCAAAACAGCTGATTTAGTAGAATTTTCCAACTCAGCTACTGCCAGAGTTTGGCTGTTTTTTGCTTAAATGTGCAATTTGGTTTTCCATTCACTGCAATTCAGAGTTTAGTGAATAAACTTCTGAGAGAATGTAGTTGCATTCATGAGAGGCAACAAAATAGATCTTTGCCTAGAGTGGCAGGAATCCTGGCATCGGCCCTGTCGGTGTATCCAGAAGCAATGTATTCACAGAGGTTGGCATCAATATATCCCTGTAGATACCCAAGCCAAGGGCTCATCTTCCAGGAGATGTTCTTGTCAAGGTGAAAAGCTGACTATGTGGGTTTTGTAACCCTTGATACCTGATCCTGTGTTCCAATAGTCCTACCTGCCCTGCGACGGCACATAAGAACCATTCGGCCCATCTAGTCTGCCCCCCAAAAAGTTCCTTGTAGTCCTTCCCAGACCTACCTTGCTTAATTAAGTATCATGTTTCTGTTATATTGTAATCGTACGGTTTTATTATTATCCTTTGATTGTTAACATATTTTACAATTTTAGTAGATTCCTGCTTAACCCTTAATAGTTTATTTGTTTTACTTTACGCTCATTGTGTTGCCTGCTGTCTTTATAAATAAAAGGAAATTACAGTCTTTTATTCCGGACTATAGTTTACCTTCTGTTCACCCCCCTGTCAGAATCATTTGATTCTCAGACCAAGTATTACTTGATTCTGGAGGAGAAAGTGCCTCTAGTGGCTGTCAGTATGACAGCCACTAGTGGTTGATTTAACCCTGCTCTGCAGTTTAAAAAAAAAAACCTCAATGTTTTACATGGAAGGGTTAAAATGACAGGAACACTGCATCCATGACACTTTATAAAGATGAAGTAGTCTGGATGACTATAGTTTCTTTTAATTGTGTTCCTTGGTGTCTATCTCTCAGTGTTGGATTCTGTTTCACCTTCTCACTGCCTAGATCATTCTGTATCAGTTCTGCCCAGCACAATCCTTCCATATTAGTTCAGCTATGCAGAGTTTAAGATTCAGGAAGCGGTGGAACATTCAATAATACATACCAGAGATACAAATGGTAATGTTCGATAGGAAAGTATGAAAAGTTTGGTAGCTAGTATGACAGCATCTGTATTCACGTGTTACATAGAACTGAAAGATATATGTTTGCCAAGAAAAGAGGTGTGGAGGGACAAGAGCAGACATCCAAGACTAATCATTAATCACTTAACACGGAGCAAAATGATCACCTTTATTCAGTCTTAGTACAGTTAATTGGCAAGGCTCGAAACTAGAGTCTACGTTGGGAACAAACTTAGCAACAGTTCATAGAATACAGAACCCTATCCAGTAATACAGAGTCCTGTAAAAGTTTCAGATTTTCTGTAAATTCACAATGTTAAGGATCCCCAGGAACAACATTTAAGTCCGCCACGAATTGCATACAGAATAAGGTAGCAGTAGGGGCAATTTCTTACAAATTGGCAGCCAGTCTCACTAATGGCTCCCCTACTTCTTCAATGTAGCAGTGTCTGTGATGGACCATACCAAGGGGGGCCAACGTCATAGTCCTGAACAGTTCCTTAGTAAGCCCACTCACACAAGAAGCAGTGACAGAGATGGCACAGCCAGAACACAGTTAGTCCTCTGTAACTCCAGTACAGTTTCGCTGGACCAGAGGGGTAGGGGATTTGTAAGTGAAGCATCAGTGAGCATGATGAGATATGGGATATATCATCTGTAGAGTGAAGATGCAGAAAGGATATGGCTGGGGTTTATAACACGTAATAGATAAATGTGGGAGTAAAATACAGGGACATGGCTGGAGGTTTAAGAAATATAACAATGCAACTAGAAGGATATGTCTGTGTGTTGCTGGAAGAATATGTATAGGTGCAGTGCTGTGGAGAGAACAGAATATGATTGGGAGAGAATTATGGGTACATTGGTTTTGAGTGGGCTTTATACTTGAATTTGGAGATGGGTTATAGTAATGATGTTGTGGAGTCTGGCTGCTGAAATGGAGTAGGCATGTAGGCTGGAAAAAATATTGTCTGGAAAATATGGATAGAAGGGTGCCATAGTACATCAAGAGCATTGTCTAGGGGGAAGCGTATAAGCAGAGGGATAAATGACGGAGCAGGGGTTTCTAAGCCAAAGCTTAGCCAGTAAACCAGGATTTACAACTGTGCTGTTCAATCAATCTGAAGTTTACATGAACCAAGATCATTTTGTCATAAACACGAGAACACCTAATAGTGATTCGAGAACACTAAGACATTGTGATGGGATGTTTTATGTTCTTTATTATACAATATGCTGAAAACGTAAAAAGCCCCCAAAAATGCAGATGATGATAGACACCACTGGAAAGATAAGAAATTAAATTGTATGCAAATAGGAAAGCTTTGTGTCATTAAAATCCCCTGAGTACCATCCAACAAAAGAGCACAATATGAAACGGCAGGTGTGCTCTCTGTAAGATAAACTGCTTCAAAATAAAGATGGTATATTTTAGCATTTTTAGAACATCTATTTTTAACCTAAAATGGCGAGATTGAGTAGAAATGTCATTCACCAATTTTATGAGGACATGTTGCATATATGAAAATACGTGTATGCAAAACAGATGATAGATTGCCTGGTGATGTAACTTTATTCGCAAAAAATATATGTTATATGACTAGATATAAATATGTATCTATAAATATATACACAGTAGTAAACCATTGATTATCCATCATTCTTATAGGGCCATGGCTAGATGATTATCAACATCTGACGAAAACCAATCTCATGGGTGATCTATTTTAAATTGATTACTGTGTTATTGAAAATGGAGTACTATAAGCCACTAAACGACACATATTTGTCAGATTTCTCTATTTTGTATTACTACTACACATCTTTTCCATTTGTAAATACAATTAAAAAAAAAAAATTCCTCCAAGATGTGTTCCGTTTGTCCCCAGGCTTTCTCAATTGGTTTTATTTGTTTATAACTGTATCTACAACTAATTTATACCAATGTATCTTAAATAAATAATTTTGCTAAAACCAACACCAAATAGTGATTCCTTCCTGGTACACCGCATCCTGGGTTCCAAAGAGGGCATTGTCACGCTATATTTGGCAACACATCTCCAAACTTGGAGCACTTTATCTTTGGGTTATCTGATAGCTTCACCTTTACAAACATACAGTACCACACTGCTCTCCTTTGTTTTTCATTTTCATCCATCCACTACTGGAAGAGACCTACCATGCTACTGCAAACCAAGCTGGTGCTGCCGTCTTAAAGGCTCAGAAGCCTATACCCTTAGAGTCTAAAAAAGGCTTATTCAAATGTGAGTTTTCATCACTCACTTTTATATATATATATATTTGTTTCCAGTTTGTTTTTATCTTTGTTTTCTTTGTATGTTCATATGCTGCCGTTGTGTATATACTAAGGGCCAAGTGTTTATTTTTAGTGCTAAACTAGCACGTTGTATTTTATGGTGGGGCATATATCTAAAATTATGACTATAAATTGCCTCGATATGCCTCTTTTTTATTGTTTATAATTTGCGACAGCAGAACTTCAAAAGGCCTAAGTCACCAACCCATTTTATGCTGGGCTCACACAAAACCAGAAAAAAAGCTTGATTAATATGAGGGACTTCTGTATTTTCTAAATAATTTTATTTACAAAATAACCTATACCGACAAACTCTATAAACATAAATGTTATCTGATCGTGTCACTGTAGAACTATCTCCTATAAGATTTAATGCTGATAGTGTCTGATATATGTATATAAAATAAATCTTTGCTGCCATCATGTGGATTAGGAGAGGTAATACATACCTCAACTAATGAAAAGATTGCCCGAGGGGAGTAAGCAAATGCCAAGGGCAGTTAAATGTCAAATAGCTATGGCAACGGACATTTCTCTAACTAGTGACCAATAATGAGCCCCCAAAGTAGATTTAAAGCAGTGTCTATCGTAAGCCTAAACTGAATTGCAATAATAAAAATGTTTGAACCAGGTCACTGGCACAGTGTAGAATCTATTAAACCCCTTAAGGACCAATCTTCTGGAATAAAAGGGAATCATGACATGTCACACATGTCATGTGTCCTTAAGGGGTTAAAGGCACACTATAGTCACCTGAACAACTTTAGCTTAATGAAGCAGTTTTGGTGTATAGAAAATGCCCCTGCAGCCTCACTGCTCAATCCTCTGCCATTTAGGAGTTAAATCCCTTTGTTTATGAACCCTAGTCACACCTCCCTGCATGTGACTTGCACAGCCTTCCATAAACACTTCCTGTAAAGAGAGCCCTATTTAGGCTTTCTTTATTGCAAGTTCTGTTTAATTAAGATTTTCTTATCCCCTGCTATGTTAATAGCTTGCTAGACCCTGCAAGAGCCTCCTGTATATGATTAAAGTTCAATTTAGAGATTGAGATACAATTATTTAAGGTAAATTACATTTGTTTGAAAGTGAAACCAGTTTTTTTTTTCATGCAGGCTCTGTCAATCATAGCCAGGGGAGGTGTGGCTAGGACTGCATAAACAGAAAAAGTGATTTGTCTAAATTTTACTATTAATTTGTGGAAATGTTTATTACCATAATTCATTATTATATGATATATGAGGCGTTGGGGAGGGAAAGGAAAATTGTCTCTACAGTATATTATTTGCTACCCATATGACTCCAGCAGCTCCAATAAGAGACTAGAGGGAGAAGAATAGGGACCCTCATATCAATATCCACTGTCCAGTAACAAAAAGTAAAAAAGAATAAATAAATGTAAAAAACACACAAACTGTGCCGAGAGATTTTCACAAATGAGAAAAAAAGAATATAATAAAGATGATAAATGATTTTAGAGCTATAAAATATTACTAATATGGTACGGAATCTCTGTTTGTTTCTTACTTTTGTTTCTCTTTTTAGTCCCATTGGTCTCATCTTAGATTGTAAAGATTATGCTATCCCCCTTTGTCGATCGTTATTTTACGTAAATTTGGTTCTTGATATTTAGTCATCTTTCTCGTATAGATATCTGGAGATTTTCTATATCTATTCTATATAGTTTTAGTGGATATAAGGAAATAGCTTTTAATTATCTCTTTTCTCTCTCCTTTTCCTCTCTCATTCACATCCGCCCTTTTCCCTCTATCTTCTTCTATTATTTCATAATGACGGTAGACAGTCATACTTATTATCTCCCCCCTTATATCTAAGTGGGTATGTAATAAATCACACCCATGAATATATAATCTCTATCTCTGTCCTTAACTGTTTTGTCTTACTCATGTTATAAGTTATTACTTTATGTCTACTCTTCTCCAATCCCTGAATTCAGGGGAGGGGTGCTGAAGAAGATCCTCTTTTTTAACTATAGTTATCTATTCATATTCGTTTAAACTTCTGTATGCTTATTTTCTTCTTCCAACCAATTGCTATTATTGACATTTACTGATGATAGCATACACTAACTATGAGGTAGGAGGAAAAGATAACATAAGACAGAGAAGAGGACCAATAAATAAGTAGATGTATAGAATATCCTTTATTAATGAAGTTTAATAGTGCTATTTATTCCATATTTTTATAATCCATTTCTCCCACGATTCTATTCTTGGATTAAGATAATTAATGTCCTTTCTCAATATTCCTATCTCCATTTTACAATTTTTTGTTACTAATGGCCGACATCCTACTGTCCTCCCGGCTGTTTTTTCTGACACGGCTATTCCTGCTTTGGATGACTGTCTTGCTTCTATTCGTGATACCTGGGTCAAAGTTCACTCCGCACTGGGGACTGCTGCTGACCGTTTTAAGCATTATGCTGATAAACGACGAGGTGCCAAACCTGTTTAACAGGTGGGTGAGAGGGTTTGGTTATCATCACGCAACATCAGGCTTAAAGTCCCTGACATGAAATTTGCTCCCAGGTTCATTGGGCCTTTTCGTGTCCTTAGAAGACTCAATCCCGTTTCATACTCTCTGGCCCTTCTGGCCTCATTGAAAATTCCTAACGCATTTCATGTCTCCTTACTCAAACCTCTTATTTGCAATAGGTATACTGTCCCAAGTGTCCCTCCTCCTCCCTTTGTTGTTTCTTGACAGGAAGAGTATGAGGTCTCTTCCATAATTGATTCCAGGTTTTCTCAGGGCACTTTGCAGTACTTGGTGGATTGGAAAGGTTATGGACCGGCCTATCGTTCTTGGGTTCCGGCATCTGATATACATGCTGGCCACAAGATTCGCTATTTTCACGCCAAATTTCCTCTCAAGCCTGGTCCTGCCCGCCCAGTGGGCGTTCTTCAGGTAGGGGGTAATGTCACGTATTCATCCACTTCTAAAAATGTGATTAATGGAATTTACTGTTCAGACAGGAAAAGTTGTGCCGAGCAGCAATCAAATCCACAGGAGGGTTTGTGCTGAGCAGCAATTATTCTTTGTTGCCTGGCCACGTTGTGATCTGGAAACTGTAGCTTGGAGAAGTGTTGTCTAACTCTAGAAATTATCCACATGACATGATTTTTGTCTTGTATAGATTCCTCCCAAACTTGATAGAATTGAAGCAGACGTGCCCATACTCTTCCAGTCTCGGAGATTAGAATGTCATAAAGAACTGAAGCTCTTAGCTGGTGCTGATCCTCTGGACTTGTTACCTCTGATGAAGTAATGACCTCCTCTACAATTCTGGGATTTCTCATATTCTCTTCAGGCCCTGTTGTATCGAAAGGAAGATGTATCTGCATATTTTCTATCACTGAATGATCTTTTAGGCCAATGTCTTGTGGTAAAAATGCTTTCTTACCATCCACTGCTCTCTTGATGCATTCATCTAATTGTTTGCTTGAAAGGGAAGGGAGCAAAGGATATTCTTCGTTGAAGCATCTGCAGTCCATGACCTTAGCCAAAGAGCCCTTCTGGCAGATACTGAGAGGACTGGAATTATTATAATTATTATTTATACAATATGTTCTGCAGCTCTGTGTTGAGGTGCATTGAAGACAGCATCACTTAATCACTTAGATAAACTAATACAAAATAGAAAGGGAACCATGTATGTGAGTCTAAGATCTAGCAGGGTGAATTTAGGATGGAAAGGACATGAGACAATGCATGAAAAGGCAGCAAGTATTATTTCAAATCTATAGGTATAGGTTTTGTGGGTCACCTCATGACTCACCAAATATTTTTTAATGAAGTGATCTCCCACCATATGATATATAATTTTCATTTTGATAGTTGAACAATTGTGTTAAAATTAGTAAAGATAAAGTGGCAGGTACCTTCATTATGTTTGCTTCCAATTTTTTCTTGTTTACTGCAATCCCCATTGAAATCAGTGGGATCTCTTCCATAAAATAATACACAATCCGTTTTCCTGGCACTGCAGGTACCCTCCCACCTCCCATCACAGGTAGCTGAAGGGGTGAAAACCCCTTCAAGTCACTTACCTGAGACCCCGCCGATGTCCCTCGGCGGTGGTTTCGGGTCGGCGTCGTTCCTCCCAGTAATCACGTCAGCCGGTGGGCGAGACTGATCCCGCCCTCCGGCTGAGGAAACTTAATGCGCATGAAGTGGTCTGGGTGCCTGGAGTGTCCCTTTAAGTAAATGCTCCCCTCTCTTTTTTTTTTAATTTATAAATTTCTTATTTATAGAAAAATATAATAAAGAGATTTTTATATCATAACAATGGTAAGTAGTGATATGTGTGTAATGTTTCCCTCCCATACAGTTCACACTAATTAATAAACAATGACAAGTACACTTAGTAATGTGTTACCAGTTCTCTGCGCTGTGCTCATTAACAGTCAGTATGCCAACTCTAGATAGATATTGGTTTTTGATTCTGTTATTCCCTATATATGTTATACATGCAGTAATTGAAGGCACATTTAGTATTAGAGGAGCTTAAAAAGTATAAAAAGGAGAGACGGGGCTAGACGCGCACCAGAGCGGACGCAAACCTCTGGAGCTCCGGGACAGAGTGATAAATATAGCCGCACACCCGGAACACAAGAGCCCACAGGCGACAGCCCGAAGTACCCTCCAACAGAGACGACCATGGGGCGCAAAAATAGGAAATAGCCACCAGCGACCCCGAGAATGCCAGACATAAGGCTCTCCAAAATGGCGCTCTCCAAAATGGCGCCCGCGGCCCAGGCTGAAGAGGAGGCCTCAGAAGCATCCCAGGAGGAGGAAGACATTGCCACCTCACCTGAACCGGGAGAAGACTACCCAGAAACGGACTCTGATGAGGACGCCTCCCCAGTGACAAAAGGTGCCATTAAAAACCTCCTGCAAAACATAAGACAAGTCTGGAAATCGGACCTGAAAGAGGCCCAGGCAGATATAGGAGACCTCCGCAAGAGGATCTCTGAAATAGAGAATACAGTCTCGGGAACACCAGAGGCAGGACACCCGCAACCAAGTAGAGGACCTGGCCACAAAAGTGAAGAAACTCACCCGGTCGGTGACCGCTCTGGAATCCCGCCACAGACGCAAGAATGTCCGCATGCGGGGAATACCAGTAACAGTGAGTGAAGAAGCCCTGCTACCCTTCACCCAGAGATTGGTGGCCTCGATGGAGTTAAAGAATAAAGATACTGAGGGAATGGTGGTCTCTGCGTTCAGGGTCCGGAAAGCAGCAGCGGCACCTCAAGAAGCATCGAGAGACACAATAGTCATCACCAGAGACATTGCGGTGAGAACCGCTATCCTCAATAAATCCAGAGAGATCAAGACGTTCCGACTCGAGGGCTGCTGCGTGACGATCTATGGGGATCTCCCCTTCGAGGCGCTGGAGGCGAGGAGACAACTGGCACCAGTAGCCAAGAAACTGAGAGAGGCGGAGGTCCGGTACCGCTGGGGAGAAGATGGAACACTGAACATCCAAAGGGGAAACGAGACACTTACCATATCTGCTGGGGAAGACCCCACGGCACTCTGGAAGACCTTAAACCTACCAAGCAAAGACCCAAAGAACACTGGCGTCTGATTATGAGCGTGCCAACAAAAGTCGACAGAGAGCCTGCGGGCAGAGTAGCCCTATAACAAGGACTGATCCTTTACTTGCCTAACCCCATGCCAGGCTACATACCTCACAGACCACACATGACGCATATAGTCAGCGAGAGAGACAGCCCCACACTAAGATGGACTGAAAGGCAATCCATGTCACTCAGTCCCCCAGACAATACCAGACACACTACTAGACGCAGAACCACATAGCCCTGTCGCCCATCACGGACAACACAGATACAATGGCACCCACAGAGAGCGAACAACACAAGACCACACAAAATAGACACACATGCACACTCACAGGAGACGAGAACACACACCAGACTACAACAAGACCCAATTGAGGGTAATTTGAGTGACGTCTCGGTAAGAGCAACAGAACTCTAAAATGTATGACTTATAAAAGAGGCAAAAGAATAACGCTTACCTCTATGATATCCTCTGTATCAGTTGTATCTTTT